CAGAGGCCTGACTCTTGGGTACATGAGCATCTACATGACGTACCTTTACAACCAAGTTCTCTACCCGGGCAGCAACATCTTGCCACAGTGCGGCAGGCCCGATGGGTTTTGCTCTTGGCCGCACTCTGCGCTGCCAGTTGCTCTGCTTCCATTGCTGCAACCACCCCCACAGGGCATTTGCCACCATCCATGAGTCAGTATAGAGATAGAGCACTGGCCATTTTTCTCTTTCAGCAATATCTAAAGCCAGCTGGATGGTTTTCACCTCTGCAAACTGACTCAATTCACCTTCTCCTTCAGCAGCCTCTGCAACTTGTCATATAGGACTCCATACAGCAGCCTTCCACCTTCGATGCTTTCCCACAAGACGACAGGACCCACCAGTGAACAGGGCATACTGCTTCTCATTTTCTGGCAGTTTATTATACAGTGGGGCTTCTTCAGCACACACCGCCTCTTCATCTGATGATATTCCAAAATCTTTGCCTTCTGGCCAGTCCATCATCCCTTCCAAGATTCCTGGGCAATTGGGGTTTCCTATTCAAGCCCGTTGCATGAACAGTGCAACCCACTTACTCCACGTAGCATCAGTTGCATGATGTGTACAGGGGACCCTCCCTTTGAACATCCAGCCCAGCACCGGCAGTCGGGGTGCCAACAGGAGCTGTGCTTCAGTACCACAGCCATCAGTCCCAGCAGCCCGGTGCCTGCCAGGGTGCTCACACAGATGTCCCCTCCTCTGTCCCACCAGGGTCCTGGGCTTCTTGGGCTTTGTTTTTGGGGATGTTGTTTCTACATTCGTGCCTCTAGGCTAGCTGTAGTAAGAGTATGGGAGTGTTTCCTTGCATGAAGGCAGTAGCAGGGTTGGGTACATGTATTTTTTTAAAAGATCAGGGCTGCAGCAGCCGTACAGAAGCTCTCAGCAGCCCATTAAACTTCAGTCCCTTGGTGACTCCCTGCCACTGGAGCAGCCACAGAGCATGGTCCTTTTTACGAAATGGCCGAGAATAATTTTACAAAATCACCGAGAATAACATTTGCTGCATAAGAAAAGTCTCTGCGGGATCCAAAACCACGCAACGGTGTCTTGGGTGACGTACACCTTGGTGAACCTACGTGGGCTGGCACCACCACCACCACCCCCTTGGTGGCTTTGCAGGCAGAACTGAAAGCAAAAGCAGGAGAGGGGCACCCTGGTAGCCTGTTGCTCAAACACCTCTCCAGCAAAGAAACCGGGGGAAAGCTGAGAAAAACCAGCAGGAACGCTTGAGCTAGACCTCAAGCCATGGCGCAGAGCTTTGTCCAACCAGGACAGACCCAGGCGGGAGCTCGGGATGTGGGGGATGCTTGGTGGGAGCCGGGCTGCGGTGAAGGTGGGAGGATTTTGGCAGCCTTCCCCGGGGGATGCTCTGTGCACCAGACGGTTAAATCGCATGCGATGCTCGGCATCCCCTCTCGCCGTGCGTCTGATGGCGTGCTCGGATGTGCCGCGGGGCTCGCCGCAAGCCAGCTAAAAGCCCGGCTGCCAACAGCCCTCGGAGAGTTGCCTGCTGACTTGAAACCTCTTCCTGTGCCGAAAGCCTCACTGAATGCAAACAAATAATGTCGTTGGGGGCCGTGCTTGGCGAGCGCGG